TATTAGTATCTATACTAGTTTCAAAAATAATTTTGAACTTTTAAAGGCAATTATAACATGATGTTGACCCGGGTCAAACCCGGGTCAATTAAATCATGACCCGACCCGACCCATTCGGGTCAACCCAACTCGTTTCGGAGCTCTAGATTCAATAAATTAAATAAATTGTTAATTGTTAATTAAATAAATATTAATTAAAAAAATTTTTTTTTGAAATTTACTTTTCTTTTTACTGTATTGTTATTATTATCATTATTATTGCTAAGAGCTAGTATTTTAATTTTTTCTTCTTGGATATACACAACATGAAAATTTTGACAACCACTAAAATGTTGCAGTATATGTTCAATTTTATCTACCATCGTTTTTAATTCATTACTTTTTTCACCAAGTTTAATTTGTTACTAGAACCACTTTTTGTTTCGTTTCAATGATGTAATCTTTCAAAGCTTTAACCATCAGAATAAAAGAATCGTGGGATTAAATACTGAAAATGTAATTATAATTATATATTTTGGTTCCAAATTTAATTTCCTTTTTATTAAATGTTTAAAAATTGAATAATAATTGTAAAAGTTATAATAAAAATAAAATTTTACTTGAATTAAATTTTCAAAAAAAAAACTTAGTTTTACCCTTCCCCCCTATGAAAAATAGGTCTTTATATAATTTTTTATCACGTAAATAATCGTAAACACTTCGCGTAAATAATTATAAACAAAAATAAACATTCGTTATTATATTATAAATTCGATCACGTCACGTAGATCCATTATTAAATATAGATTTATGTATATACCACCGTTTAAAATAAATGATTAAGAACATTATTATTATTATTATTATTATCACCAAAATAACGTCAATTGATTAATAATCAAATTACTAAAATAATTTGGAGCAACCCGGGTTATAATAAAATATTTTGCTCCGGGTTAGTACAAAAAATTAGAAATCTTAACCCACTCCATGATGGAGTGATACATAACCCGGGTTGATGCCAGTACATTATGCTCCATTTAACAACCCTAGGGTTAACAGCTTAATAACAATAATAATAATATTATTATAGGACTTTATAAAGTAATATTTTATCACCGCGGAAGATCATTGTTCCTGATACATCATACGTACGTAAATATGTAAAATTTCCTCGTACAGGTGTACGACCACAACAAAACTGTACGAACTCAATTGTACGAAGTACAGTCGCACATCGTACGTACAAAGATTCTTCTTGTACAGCGAAATTCCACAACACTGACTTAAATATTCTTTTCGTAGTCTTTTACAATTTTTGCTTTTTCTCTTGTTACACTTTTAAAAGTAGTTGTGAATCCCAAATTTGATAAAATATTTATAAAGCAATTTCCTTTTTTGTTGAGTTCACACGTTTGTTTCTTGGACCAGTCATTTGATAACAAAGAACCATTAACTTTCCTTCTTAAACTATCTCTTGTATTTTTTAATAAAGAATTCATACTTTCATAAAACATATCAAAAACCCCTTTTAATTCAGTATCCTTTCCTTTAATCATTCAAACAAATCCATTGGGATCATTGATTGGGTCTTTTTGTTCATATTGCTGTTAATTATAAAGAACAATGGTTAGTTAATCTTTTAATTTTAAAAATTTGGTAAATTTAAAAATATCTAAAATAAAATATAAGATTAGTATTTTTTTTTCTTTATATTAATATATTATTATTAATTATAATCATTTACCTGTAATTTCTTTTGAAAATGGTCTGATAACAAACAGATTATAATTCTCTTTTGAATTCTGATGTTTGTCCTATAATTCTTCCACAGAAGATGCAGTTCTTAGTAATATTTATGTTTCCTTTTGGATATTTTGGATGTGTTGTCCTGTCCCTCTGTCATATTTGATTTTTAAACTGCAGCAATCAGAATAAATTAAAACACCAACCTCAAGTCCAAATACCCTCTTTTCTTTTTCCTTCTATTGTAACTGTTCACCTGCTTTTGCTTGTTCACAAACTATGCAAGTCCCATTTTTATATAATTAATTTAAAAAATTTTGGCAGGCAGTGGGTCAGGCTGGATCAATGGAAAACAGGTTAAAATAAACGATACTGTAAAGTTTAATTAATGTACAGTACATGTAACCACTTTAATTGTCAATTAGGCAACGGTATAAATAATTGTGCAACAATTTATGTGATGTTCAATTACTTATAAATCCCAATTAAATTTCCTACCAAATTTGGGAAAATACCCTTGCACAACATTCAATTTGATTGGTTGGTGGATTTTGAAATAAGTATTTATTTGGGTCGTCATCTGTTTTAAAATTTGTCAATCATGTCATCTATTCCTTCAAATCAAATAATTTTTGAATGGTGTGCAGACCTGAAAAAGCTTGATTTATATGTAAGTCATAATAATAATATTATTATTGCCTTCTATAGAATTAAAGTGTTATTTCTTCTTATCCTTCTCTCATTTTTTTTTTTTATAAATTAGCTTAACTCCATAAATCAATCACAAAGCAAAGAAGGCGTAATACTGTTAAAAACATTACTTAAAAAAGATGATTTTCCAAAAAATATTACATGTGAAAGCATTGATGATTGTTTTTTTTTTTCATTGTCTACACATCAATTCCAACTAGTTCAAGCTGCTTGCAAGGTGTGTATATTTCTCTATTATTTGTTATCCAAATAGATATAAGTAAATAAGTAGTAAATTATGAAAGATTGTTATACCAGGTGATACTAAAAACTCAATTGTCACTACAAATTATTGAATCCAACACACCAATAAATGTTCAACCAGTTCTTTTTCGAAGCTTATTGAGTTATGGACGGTAGGTTAATATGTGTTTAATAATATTTATGATTAATATTATATGTGATATTATAAATGTGTTTTATATTTAGAGACTTCTTTGGGAATGATCCACAAAACAATCCAATTATTTTATATCATCGTTGGATAATAAGGTCAAGTTCAAATAATATTGAATTTGAAATAAATTTAGATCAAAATAAGAAATCAGCAGAACTCTTAAATGAATTATATGTAAAAATGACTGAGCAACTTATGGTATATTTCATCTTTTTTTGTTGATTATATACATTATCTTTTTGTTATTATTCATTCCATTTATTAATTCATTTATTATTTATAAATTACATTAAGTCAAATTCAACAACAAATTCTGTTGACCGTTTATTTTGTAATCAATTAGCCTATGAATTAGGCGAATATTATTTTGCTGTTGATAAACATTTAGCAATAGATTTTTTATGTAGGTGTCTATTAGAAAGTGATGAATCAATGATAGACCATCAGTCTTTTTGGTAAATTTTTACTTTTTACAATCATTATAATAATATGAGAATTGCTAGGTAATATTTATATATAATGTTATCTATCTTTTTATTGTTTATTAGCACAATAAATCAGCCAAAGATTTTACCATTAGTTACATCACTTAAAGAAGTAAAAATAAAGTTCAATACATTAAATAAAATATTGTACTTTCAACAAAACCAAGATTACGAAGGGGTGTATATTTTATTGTTTAGATTACTATTAGATAAAAAGAAATTAGATACTCATTCACATGAAGAACTTTCTTATAGTCTTAGAAACAATTTAGTGAATGAGGCTATGAATTTACAACAGGAACATTCTGCAATTAAAATAGCAATCTGCAATGCTTTAGATTTAGATGGTAATATTTTAAATATTATATATAGGGTTTTTATGCACATTTGCTAAACAATTAATAATATAATAATATAGAAAAAATGTTGGATCAGATACCTTTATCATGTATTCAATATCTTGGCAATTATTTTAATGAGGAACTTTTAAAAGATATTATTGAAATATTTAAGAAATTATTTGGAAATTATCCTGGTGTTAATATGAGTGCAAATAAAAGAGAATTTATCATACAGCTTATTAGTAAAATTAATAATGAAGATGTTTGGAATTATATTTGTAAAACTGAAGGTATGATATTTATATATATGTACTTGCACAACACATTTATACATATATGTGTGTCCATCTACATGTAATTTTAACATAATATTTCACTCTTGAATAATTATATTTAGGATTTGAATTTATACAATATTCAATCGAAAATAATTTAGAAGAATTTTCTTCATTATTTGTACCATATAGTCACAACATTGATTCTATGGAAATTATTGAGGTTATCTAGATAAAAAATTGCATTCCTTATTTCATTTATTTATCAATCAATCAATTAACATGTTAATATTTATGACCATTTTTCTAATGTTTAAATAGGTACTTGATAATCAACAAAAAGATGATTGGACAGAAATTGATCATTTGATAAAAGATGATATTAATAATAGCCATGAAAATATTAATAATCTAGACAATTTAGATACAATTAAAACATCTTGTAATAATATTTTAAATAGGATTGGTATTATGAACATACAAGTTCTTGTAAGTATTAAGATCATATAGCTCTCGTAAATATTAATATATTTAATATCTTGTAATTAATACAATACTAGCATGATTTTTTGTTGAAATTTAGGAAAGTATTGCATTAATTATGATTGAATCTCATTGTTGGGACTTTCTTGAAACATTTTTATCAAATCTGAATACAAGGAGGAAAAATATCAATAATGGTTAGCTTTTTTATTTTTTTATAAATGAATGTTGTGGATTTTAAGAATATATTACAAAATTAAATTATTACTATATAATATAATTGATATATTTAATTAACAGGAAAATATGAACAAATATTCCTGTTTTGTGATATTATGATTCCATGTGTTCAGATTTTGAAATTTTTTTCAAAATATACAAAAGGTATTTTAATTTAAAAAATAGATCTTTGGTAATAATAATAAAGATAATAATAATTATTATTACTTGATAAAATTATTATTTCAACATTATCATTTTATTAAAAATAATAATTTATAGATATAATATGTGTTGAAAATCATAGTGTAAAACTTCAAAAGCATTTTGATATAATATTTGATATGAGTTTTCAAGAAATAAGAAATATTCGTGCAGCATTTTATAATTTTGTTAAAGCTTTAACATTCAGAGGAAATGATTATGTAAGTTTCTCTTTCTCTTCATGGGCACCAATCAAAATTTATTATATAACATAGAAACTTGTTAAAACTAATCATCATCATTATCACTTTTTTGTAGAAATTGGTTCTTGATTTTTTTGTAAGAATAAAAAAAGTTGTATGGATTCATCAAATTTTCAGAAGTTTAATGGCAGGGTATTTATGTGAAACTCAAAGACAGAAAAAATATAAGGTAAAAATAAAAATAATATTCAATAACTAAAAATTATCTTGATATCACACACATAATCTAAATAATTTATTATTAGAAATTAAACACCCAATTATATGGACCATTCACAATACTAATGATGTCAACTAGTTGTGCAACAGAAATTTGGCCTGATAGAGGGTACTATTTATAATAAGTTTTTATATTTGTTTCTTTAAACTATTTTAATTATTCCTAATTATCATTTTTTCTTAACATTTAATTTAAAAAAACCTCCAGATTACATCAATTGAGAAAGGTTCTTAATGAAAAAATCAAAAGAATAAGATATGATATAACTGAAATATTAATTGATTGGTGTAAGCTATCTGCAAAAAATGACAATCAACCAACATATCAAACGGATCTTATTTTATCAAATATTTATTATTTACAAGGCTCTCCATTGAAATCACTGAGGTAATCATTTATTATGATCAATGTCGTAAATTTTTTTGCATTATAATTAATATCTTTTTTTTGTAATGTGATAATAAAATTAAGATTTAGTTTGGATGCAATTGCATCAATGACTTTTTTTTTTACACGATTGGAAAAAATTGAGGAATCTCTTGTTTCATTTGAACAAATAATAAGATGTTGTATCTCTAGAAAAGGTAATTCTTCTTCCACCGCCATTAATTGTAATATCACTATTTATGTTATATATTAATATTTATATTATATGTTTATAGAGTTGGTTGCTGCAATAGTATTTCATCAATTTAATCGTGATGAAATAACTTATATTGAAACCAGCTATTTGCTTGACATTTCTTTAAGTAATGGGTCATTGAAAACTTCCCAGTTTGCAAATTATTTATGGGAAACCCAATTATTAAAATATATTTGCAGTAAGCAAATCAAATTTCTTTTGGAAGTGTCATTATTTCACATATGATGACAATAATAATAATAAGTTTATTTATATATATATATATATATATATACATATATAGTGTATTTCTATGAAATAGGTGATGCAACATCTTGTAATGAAGTAGTAAGTGTGCAAATATTTATTCATTTTAATTGATTAATGTTCAAAAATAATAATCATATTTTTAAATAATAGGTTAAATGGTTGAAATCGATTCTTTTTGAGGAATCTCCTGAAATGTTTCCAGATAGTTTTGTACGAGAAGCCTACAAAAGATACTTATTTAGACCTAGAATAAAACTTATTGGATTGGACATTGATCCAAAACATTTAACTAAAAGAATTGAAAGTATAAAACAAGATTTTCTTGTTGTTTTAAATGATTGGATTAGCAAGGATTATGAGGTAAATTGATTTTTGGTAATAATCATAAAAAAAAATTTTTTAAACAATATTATTAATTAAATAATTATTTATATAATATAGTATAAAAACAATATAATCCATCACAACCACATTATAATAATCTTAATATATCAACTGTCATTCATAATCCTGCTTCTTTATTTCAAGAATTTTAAATAAAAAAGATTCACCAAAAAAAAATGAAGTTATTATGGATTGAACACCTATTATTGTAAATACCAATATTAATACTATTACTGCTACTGTTGTTGCTACTTTTACTAGTAAAACAACTAATACTTCTAATACTTCTAGAGGGAAAAAACGAAAGCATTAAAAATTTTTTAGTAGTAAAAAATTCTTGATGTCACAAAAAGCCCTACAACTCCTACAACTTTACTAAAAATTGTCCAATTTGATACTAATAAATTTTCAGTTTTACTTTTTTTACATTATTTTTTCAACTAAATCTGATAATTGGTTTTTGAGTAATTTCTTTTAAAATAAATAGCAGAGTTGAATTTTTGCAACTATATTATAAGAGGGATACACGAATTATGTCAAATTAAGTAACGGAATAAAGTAGGGATGTGGCTTATAATTATAATAATAATAATGAAATCATTGCCGAAGTTACGTGATTTACTCAATTTCTTTAAATAACTTTGGCAATCAAATTATGGAATAGAAATTAAAAGCTTCAAGGTTTGCCATTGAAAAGCGGGATCTAATTCTTGATTTATTTCTAATTAGTTCAATTTGATCAATAATCAAGATATCAGCTTGTAATTAAAAGCAACAAGTATTTTAATGTATATTCAATAAAAGTACTAACCATCGAATGAGCTATTTTTCCATGAAAATTTTCTGTTACACACTGTCAATTTTAAATTTAACTAATAATCAGGGTTGGCGCCTCGTGGAAAATATGTTGGACATGTCTAATGCATATCCAATGCCTGTGTCAAACTGATAACTGTTGGACATTGGACAATGTCAACCCTGATAATAGTAATCTATTCTCATACTTAATAATTAATAATAGTAAAATTATTTTTATGTTGGATTTTGTCTTACTTTATTTTCATATTCAGCATTTGTTCTGTTTAAGTCAAAAAAAGAAAAAGAAAAAGGCTTAATATATATATATATATATGTATAAGAGATATTAGTAAATCAGGACTTTTAGCATCTAAAAGTTTTTTGTGTACCTGCCAATCAATATATACGGATGTTAAAATTATTATTCACAATATAAATATTTTACCTTCAGGAAAAAAAAAATTATCAACTTGTAAAGCCCATTTTCACAAAGTATCATATCTATCAATTAATATAAAGATGATGATAACAAATCAATTACAATATCTACTATTACCATTACTATTTCAAACTCTAGCACCTTCTTTTGGGATTCATTGGCCTGACATAGAATCTCTTATCAAAAAACAGAATCTCTTGAATTTTTAGCAAAATGAAAATCAAAGACTAAACACAAAAAAAAATTCTTTGACATATAAACGGATGATGTTTCTACGTTCTTCGGGTTCTTCGGCAAGTCTATACAAACAAATCCCAGACATTTTTAAAGAAAATATTAAAAAAATATCGTAAACTAAAAAAAATTTTCGATTCAACCCGTGTTAAAAAAGAGTGACAAAAATATATTTTGAAAATAACACGTCAAAGATCTACAAAATTTAATTATTGTGTTGTTCTCTACGCCAATCGACGTACATCTTTAAGATTTTGTCTTCTGGCTCGATGGTTTTCCAGGCATTATCTTTCTCACCACAAAATAATTTCCAACTATCTTCGGCATATTGTCCCATACCGAATAATTCTTTTGGTGTAGAAAAATTAGGATTTAATAAATATGAACATGAAAATTTTATAATTCTTATAGCACGAATATTTCTATATTGAAAATATTTGATATTACGTGAGCATGATTCAATCATTAATAACAAATCTTATAATTCTTTAAAATCATTTAGACATACTGAAGTCCTAATGGTCTCAATAAATTTACGAGTTCATTTACATCAGCTTTAATTGCTTTATATGGTGTTGGATACTCTTCTAGAAATTTCCATAATAATGGTGTTGCTTGAGATCCTCTTGTTTTATTCAAAAACATTGTTGCGATTAAAAGCTATTAATGTTAGATATAATAATAATTATTATTATTTATTATTATTAGTATAATAATTAATATTATATCAAAGACCTTCCAAGGATCACAATAAAGTTGTTCTTGAACAAGATTATATGGTGAAGTCATCGGGATATACTTTGGCGTGAAATTGATGGGCTTTAAATTTGAAAATTCATCATAATCCATTATTAATTTCCAATTCTTTACAATTTTATTTAAATCATATGAAGGATTAAACGCTAATAACAGTTCTTTTTCTTGCTCCTCCTCATCTTCGCTATCAAAAAACCATTCTAATAATCGATGATTGTTATTGGTGTTGAAATTGGTAGATTTGAAAAATTCTGATATCATTCCGGTATGTTTTTTCCTTTTCTTGCCGTTAATTGATGATAATGATGGTGATGAATTTCTTATCACAAAAGTAGCTTTCTTCTTTTCCTCCTCTTCGTCATTCAATGCTGTGGGTTTCGTATATGAGAAATATGGACTAATTGTATCAGTTTGTTTGATTGTTTGTGTTTTCTTAGTTTTCATAATTACAAAAATTAAAATAGAAAAAATAGATCTGCAATTTTTATTATTTTTTAAACATTATATAGATAGATAGATATTCTTATGTTTTGAATGTTTGTAAACATCACCAATATCTAATTAACAACAAGATTGTTCTTTTGATCTATATAAATGAATCATCTAATCTCGCCTTCCCTTCTCGCTATTTTTTACATTATAGGGAAGAAATCATATAAAAACTTTTCTTTCGTCAAATTGTACACAAGTCATTATTGAGTATATGCACAGATATTTATAAAATTTTTTTCAGGAAAGTTTTATTATGATTTTATTCTATAAGAAAAAAAAAGATCAAGAAGCAAGATAACAAATTAATGAATTAAACATATTATTGTAAATTTTTAAAAATATAGTGTTTTAAGCAAAGCTAAAAGTTAAGAAAAATAAGAAAGTACTGTAGTTTGTTTAATTAAAATAAAATTATAAAATTATCTTCCAGTTCTTTGAACTTTTGATTATTTGTTAAAAAATACAATTATCATTTTCGAAAGTTCTTTCTTTTAGAGACTGATGAGCTGGATGAACCAGATGATCTGGGCATGACTTTATTCTTGTTTGAAGTGATAGTTGATTCATTTGCCACCGGATCCATTTTAATATGTCTAACCACGCGATCAATTCTTGACCAAGGACAATTCTGTAAAACTTCTAATTGTCTAGAATCTATATCCATATATGTACCCCAATGTAAAACATATTCACGTCTTTTTTTGCCACAAGGAACTTTCCACCAAGAATCATATTCACATAGTAAACATCTGATCGCTAATATACGTTTGACAACAACTGCTGGACAGCTGCCAGCATACAATGATGCATATTCAGAAAATTCTCTTTTTTTGGCTAATATTCTAACATTTGATTCAAATTTTGTTGCTTCTCTATCCGAATGAAACCCAGTGATAGCCAAAACAGGCGACCAATTTATACCACCACTTGCCAAACGGTTATGTTTACGTAGTCGGTCCTAACGATAACAATAAACATAACAATAAAAATAATAAAAATGGCGGTAATAATGTGGTGGTGGTGGAATTGTTATTTTGAATATTGATGTGATTGATGATGAAAATTTAATATTAGAAGGTATTTGTTGATATTATTAATTAATTAATTATAAATAATATATATATTTAATCTCTAGTAATTTTATCAAAATAAGATTTATCATTCTATTTGTGATATCATTGTTATTATTACCTTAAGGTCATAAGTACTTCCAACATGTACTTTTGTTCTATTGGTATTGTAAAGAATATAAACACACCAATTTCGAGTTAAAGTTTCAACTCTAGAAGTATTACTCATTTTTTAGTACAAAAATTGGTTTTTTTTAACAGATGAATTTGAAAAGAGAGAGAGAGAAGAAAGAAGGTTAGAGAAAGTTTGGAGAGAGTTTGATATTTATAACAAGGTTACACTAAAACTACTATCAGCAAAACCAATAACAGCAGCTATTTATGTTTTTGAGCGAAACACCCTGACCTTCTTTAATTGGTAGCCAACTCAAGGAAAATTTTAAGGATGTTTCTGGCAGAATGAATTTAAGAATGACCCTGGGATAGCACAGTAGTGAACTGATGCGATTCGTGGATGATCAATTCGGATATCCACACAAAAATCGATCATACTTAGATTGGTAGTTACTACTCGTAATACAAATTCTTATTCGTAATACAACTTGATCTTAATATTAAATATTAATTCATTTTATCCGATTATTCGTTATATTCGAATTATTCGTATATTCGTTTTATTCTTTATATTCGAATGATTCGTTTTATTCATTTTATTCGTTTTATTCGAATTACTCGTTTTATTCATTTATAAAATATAAAATGTTAATTCACAGCTTGATGCAACAAATTCTATTTTATTATTGTTATTGTTAGAATTTTGAAAATTATAAATAAGGTCTTATTTCCTTCAATATTATATATACTTATAATCTATATTACTACTATTATGGTTGGTAGTACTATGATTTAAGAAAAGAAAAGAAAAAAATTGCCAATTACTTCTGTTACTATTATGTATTATCATACTAATATACAAGGACTACGAAGGAAAAATAGATTGATAAAGAAAAAAAAATTTTAATTGGATTGGATTAGCAATGTGCATATCTTATTTTATTCGAATTAATTTTATTCGAATCATTCATTTTATTCGAATCATTCGTTTTATTGGATCATTCGTTTCTATTCGAATCATTCATTTTATTCGAATCATTCATTTTATTCGAATTATACGTTTTATTTGAATCATTGTTTTATTCAAATCGTTCGTTTTTTTTTCGAATCATTCGTTTTTATTCGAATCGTTGTTTTTATTCGAATCACTCGTTTTTATTCGAATTATTCTTTTTATTCGAATTCATTCGTTTTATTCAAATTATCCATTTTATTCAAATCATTCATTTTATTCGAATCATTAGTTTTATTCGAATAAACTTTCAATGTAATTTGAATGCTCAAATTCATAACGAATAAAAATAATATAATAATAATTCGAATAAACCTTGTTCGAATAGAAACCTTATTATTATTGGTGGATGGCTTTACAAAAAAATTCGTTTTGATCGTCATAAATTTTCCAAAAACAAAGGTCAAACTATCAATTTTGGCAACTATAATTGATAATCTTTTTTTACACCGCGTTTTTTGCACTTCGTCTTTGAAATGCACAAATTTATTGCTCGAACGCGTCGCGTTTTTTTTTTGAGTTTAAAAATGAAATGGTCAAAACCGCCAAGTGGACGGGCCTTGCGTGCTGAGAATGAAAATAGTAAATTGTGTAGTTTTAAATTCAATTTGCAGAAAACTAACTAATCAAAAATTGTAAAAATCGTCCTTCTTTACTTTGCCTTTAAACTTTTGGAATTTTAGGTTATATAAAGTATTTTGGGCTTTTAAATAATACCTTTTAATTTATCTACTGCTTTTTGTTTACATATTTTATTAATAAGCAGAGAAAAATTGGTCCCGAAACGAAGGGTTCCGAGCTTTACACATTAAACTAAATTTATGGATTATTATAAAATTATTGCTATTGCTATAATATATATATATGATAATGTTTTGTTATTATTATCTGTTCAATCCAACGGCTGATCCGATCTGATAGATTTCATGACCAGATGGTGGATTATTAATAGTAAATGTAAATGACAGATGAACGGATGAATCAATAATTATAATGAATACCACATTATCATATAATGTATTACAAAGAATAATCACAAGAATAAGTGTTTTTCGAAAAATATTTATTCAATTTATTTATATCCAAAGAATTGTTAATTAAATAAAAAATAGTGCGTAAAATTATAGATACAGCCAAACCTCGTTTCAATGAATCTTTAAAATTTTCGCTTCACATATAAAATTCGTTGAAACACGCGATTGGTAATTTGGTATAATGAATTTTAAAATACAATTTGCTTATGTATGAAACGAGGTTTGACTGTATACAAGAATGGATGTATATTTTAATTTAATATTAATATGTAGTTGTTTGTGTATCACCTGTTGCAGTAATAAGTAATTTATCAAGCATTAAAGAAAGAATACAAGTATATATATCAAGTTTTGATTCAACGTCAGGTGATTCAACATACAATTTCCTAATAGGTTCATTCCAGGTTCATAAAAAATCTTTGATCATGACTTGCAGTGACGCATACCTTAAATTTATGCCAATTTGACCAGGATACACGGGATAATATGTGGAACTGGATGGCTGTTGATCTGGAGAATATTATCTCCAGCGATTTGCCAAACAATGAAATGTCCATCTAATGTTCTTCTTTCTTTGAGCCATTCCTTTTTCCATAATGAATAAACTTGAACACTCACCTACCATAAATATCCGACCACCTGATGATCATTTTAATAATTGGGAAACTTATACCTCACGCAGTTCAAAATTTTATTAACCAACCGGGACCGATGCATTAAGTAAACATGATTTCAAAGTTAATTTGCATATAAACCTAAAGTCTCGTCGAGTTTGCATTAATAATGAATTTAGGATGAAAATTTTAAATTAGACAAAAAAATTTCGTGATTTTTATGAAAACTTTGAGCTTAGTAAAAAAGTTCAAAACTGTTGAATCGTGGATTATGTCATTAATTAAGTCCGCTTAAAATAACTTGAATTGTATATGGTTAAAATTTGAGAAAATTTGATCAAGTATTGACACAAAACGTAAAACCTTAATTTTCATTTTGTCAACTTTATTAAGTGTTTTATAAAATTACGAGTGGTCGGATACTTTTTTAAACCCCTTTCACGAACTAATTTATGCCGACACTGTATTGTAGATATATGTAATTCATTACGCTGAGCACGTTTTATTAATGAAATAATATACATCACAACAAAGAAATTTGACCTTTTATTACATTAAAGATTCCGATTGAAAATTTGCTTTTTTGGACTAATGTTTCCATTAATAACATACCAAACCTTTCAAAGTTTTTGTAATTTAGAGATTTTGATATCAAGTACAGGTCTACTTAGTAAATTAAGAAAGGTTTTATTTAAGAAAAGGTTGCCTTTTTAGTAAGGACTCTTTTCGTTTGACATTACACAACTCAGGTGGTCGGTAGGTGAGTGTATATGCAAATATCTAGACTGGGAAAATTTTTACCAAAAAAAGAATAATAATTTTAATTTTAATTGGCGTGTTGCAATTGCCTTTTTTTAATTGTAAAACAGGAAGTGAATGTGAGCTATTATTGCATAATAAATAAGCGGATTATTTTTAAAACCAAAAATACCTTGGATTTTGTGGGACACAGATAATACTTGAATCAATTATTTTGAGACAAGGTATGGAGATTCCACAAACCTCCAACTAAAAATACAAACATCCTTATATATAACCTCTAATACAGTCCTCTTTTATATTATAAAATACATTCAATTACATTGTTAATTGTTTTTCCAAAATTATATTTTGTCTTGTTCCAAATTTAGAGTGATTGACTTGAACATTGGGAAATTTTGACCTACTTTTCCTTATGAGATATGTAAATGATGACATTACATTAAAGAAGAAATGTGCTAGCCATCAAATCCAAATTTAATTCTTGGATAAAGGAAAATTTTTTCTAAATTCTTCATTAAGTGGTGGCATTGCCCATGTTATTATCACATTTAGATTTATATTTTATTGTTTCATATTTATATATGAGACATACTCAACAAGTGAACCCAAGAATTTCAGGTTCAAAGTTTAGCAAATTAGTCCACCATTGTACTACTTATATTATGTGATGTTACATTTTATTTTATTTCCCTGGTTTGTAACTTTCTAATTACTCAATAACTTCAATTCACATAGGATAATTGGAGTAGTTATGTAATCTAAAAGTATAAATTCTATCAGGAAAATAAATCATACATAAACCTATGTAGGCAGTGATGGGAATTTTTAACCCTACACTTATAACTCCAAGTTATTAATAGTTAATAACCACTTATTAAACGTTGCACTCTGAGTGAGAGTTATTAATCCAAAAGATCCATTTTGTCAATCAATCCCGGTGTATAGAATTCAGCATGTGGAATGTGCTGTGCTAACCAAATTCAGCAGATTTGGTTAGCATGCACACTCTGCACACTGAATTTTATGCACAGTACTAAATTAATTATTAACTTGTTTATCAAATTAATATTTGATTAAACAGTTACCAATAAGAGATCTGCATGTTTGTGTTTTTAACACTTAATAATAGAGTTATTAAGTACTTAATAACTTGGTCATTTTTCAAAATAATTTTTACGCCCATCACTATATGTAGGGTTCAAAATTGACCAGCATTATGCGGAGGTGTCACCAGAATTGCCAATATTTCGGCATAATGCTGGCCAATTTTGAACCCTACATAGGTTTACATAAGATTTATTTTCCTGATGTCAATAAGGGTTTAATTTCCTCCCTTCTGGCTTTTTTTCACTTTGTTGATAAGATTTCATTTTAGATAGTGAGCTGTTTCTTTAATTGCTTTTGAAATTCTTCATTGTTAAAATAATTTTTGAATTCCTAGCAAGTTCCTCTCAAGTACCATTAGTGAGAACTAAAGTCTGCATTTTTTTAGTAGAAAGAGTGTGCATATGAATCAGAGGTTTGGTTATTATTTATGTTTGTCTCAATGTTGGGAATTTCCGGTTACAGTGGGAAAATCACTGGGACTGGAACACTGGAACAGTTTGAAAATAAAGTTGGTGTCTGTAACTGCAGGTTTTAAAGCCCGAGTTGCAACCCCTGAAACTGTCTGAAACTGTCTGCAACTATAATTATGATGATTTAGTATCAAAAATGGAATCACATAATTGCAAAATGGGATTTATTGTTTTTAAATAAAATCATTAATTAAAAAATTTATTTTGATAAAAATAAATTTAGTTTTATAGTGATTGAAGTAGCTGACCAACCAGAAGTTTCAGACAGTTGCAGACAGTTGCAGCAATAGCAGGCTTACAGCAGTTGCAGCATTAGATGTCAATATTTTTTGGGTTGCAACCTAGGGTTGCAGAGCCATCTTTATTTAGAGAACACATTTTTAATTTAGCATGATAAATGTTTGGAGCTTGGATATGACAATTATATACATGTAATCAGATAGAGCATAAACTTTTTCATTAGACTGGAGTAAATAGTGATCATCATATCAAAGTCAACTTTAATTCAATCTCAACATTTAGGAAATTTTAATTATTGCAAATTCCTAAAATTCAAATTTTTGTTTGTGAGAATAAATCAAAAGGTTTTAGCTATTTTTTCTCTTTTTGGTCCACTTTTTTTTAATGCTATGGTAACATATGTTTTGCCTTCCAAGAACCCCTAATAATAACTAGTTCGCTAATTAAATTTTCTTTCAAACATCATACTCACTTTAAATTTGGCATAAAGATCATCCAATGAGGCAAAATTTTAAAAAATATCAAACTTATGCATATTCATTAAAACCTAAGTCACATTTGATAATGCAAACTCTTCAGAAAAGGAAAGAAAAGGATTAATATTATGCCATTTGGGATTATTATAAAAGTTTGGCTGGTTAACTTTCTGGCTCTAAAGGCAAAGCATTTCAAAATTTCTAAAAATGGGATATCTTATCTGACAATCATTAATTAATTAATTGCACTCATACTTGTTATTATTATAAAGTCATTAAATTACATTAGTGATGACTAAATTTGATTCCTGAAACCTTTATGAGACATAATGTTCACTTTGTTGCATCATTTCTATAAGTATTCTAATTGTATATGAATAAAAATAATTAAGAAAAGAAAGATTGAACTTTGGATTAGTATTGATTTGCTATTGTTATTATGCACATTCATGCAGAAAAAGAAATCTTTCTTCATATATATTACAAACTTCTTGTTGCAAACCTTTGGTTATCAAGGAGATATATATTTATCCCATTCTTTATAACAATTTTTATCTCGATTTAAAATTTTTTTTCGAATTGTATAATTGGAGATCATCTGTCAATCTTTGAATGAAATCTTTCCCTTATTTAGAAACTAATCGAGGTTTTTTTATCAGTAAAAAAAATGTCAGCATTTGTAAAAGACAATACGAGTAAAACTACAATTTATGTTGGTAGGTTAAAAAAAAATTAAAATTTAATAAGCAATAATATTCATTTACACTATTATTATACTTTTAAGGTGGTTTAGATGATCAAGTTAACGAGGAAATACTTCATGCAGCTTTTATACCATTTGGTGACATTGTAGAAATACAAATTCCTCCAGATCCAGCATCACGTAACTAACCAACTAACTAACTAAGTGCTTAATAACTTTTTTTTTATAAAAAAAAATCAAGTTCTTGATTATTATTTTAAAATCAATAATAATTTGATCAAAGTACATCATTATCCTTTATTAACTTTTTTCTCCTCTTTCTTTGTTCTTCCTACCTCCCTCCAAAAAAAAAACATAATAGATAATCAACATCGTGGATTTGGATTCGTAGAATTTGAGGAAGCAGATGATGCACAAGCTGCCATTGATAATATGAACCTTTCGGAACTTTATGGTAAAGTGATTAAAGTTAATTTAGCTAGACCAATGAAAATCAGAGAAGGAAGTACACGAGCAGGTAATAAATAATTATCATTATACAAGCATTTGTTAAAATTATGAAATTATATGCATAAATTCACATATATCATAAAATAGTTTGGTCTGAAGATGCATGGCTGCAAAGATATGCACTAAAATCAACTGATCCAAATGTACCATATGGATCAGATGAAGAAGATACTCATTCCAATGATGGTGATAATGGTTTAGGATCACAAGATCAGTTGAAAAGTGGCAAATCTAATATTTAGTATTGGGAAGTTGGAAACATGCAATTTATCCAACAAATCAAATATATAGATAGATGGTCAGTGAGTGACTTAGATTTTTTTGTTTGGTTGGTATTTCTAAACAAATAAATGTGTTGTTAAAAAATAATAATAAAAATTAGTAAATTTATTTGATTTTTTGTTGACTTATTCTTTAATTTTATTATTATTGCCTATATGTTCCTCAAAAATCTTTTCCAGATTATATTTTTTCAATTTGTTATAATCTTTAAGTACACTCATACCACATATATTCTATCATAAATAAATATATAAATTATAGTATATATTAATGACATATAATGCTATTATTCTAATCTGATTGATCAATCAATCAATTACCTTGAAAATCTCAACAATGATTGTCAATTCAGGATTATTAAGATTGACTGTATGATCTTCACCAACAATTTTAGCAATCATGTTAATCAACTCTTTTTTATCTACCTTATTATTATTTCGAGTATTAAGTACTATTGCATACTAACTTCACAATAAAATAAATATTTAATTTACTTGTACATATGCACACATGCATACTACATAATTGAATGTGCATACCTGAAATTTTTGTGTATTATTAAAAATTGGATTTAATATTAATTGAGCCATGTTTTGTATATCATTGGTATTTGCATAACATGTTTGTGTTATTGGAATTAATCTTCTAGAGAATCTTTAAAATGAAGAAAAAGTTATTAATAATTTTTTGTTTTCAAATAATAATAAATAATAAAATGTTTATTGCCTAGTTTTCTTTTCTCCCAAATTATTTAAATCATCCAAAATATTATAAACCAGATTTGTTGGATCAATTGATGGATTAGTTTTAATGAATACAACTATTCATAATTCAATAATAATAACAATGAATTATTTTTATCTAATAGTTATAATAATAGTAATATTATTAAAGAATGTAATCAATACATACCACAATCAGTTCCAGTTTGAATTGAAGCAAAACTATTAGAAGAGTGTGGTTTTTTCATTTCTGAAAGTTCTTTTGCAATTACATCTTCAATGTCCAAATTATCATCATTATCATTACCAACACTCTTATTAGCAGAATCAGTAGTGTTTATAGCTTGCGATAGAAAAAATTTACCAGCATACTATTTAAAATATTTTTTTTGTTAAACTACTGGGAAACTCAAAAATAGACTATTATGAGATAATAAATTGGTAGCATAAATACCTCATTGAACAAGTCATAACATTCTCTCACACACAGTGCTTCTTTATTTTTTACACAGGTTATAAAAACCCCAGACATATTTGGTTCAATTTTTGCAACATTTTTTTGTTGCTTGTAATAATAATTTTTTTCTGTTTATTATTATCATTATCATTATTGTTAGTAGTAAAACGAAATTACATAAATATAACATACATATATTTTTTATTTGTTTCTTTTACAAACCTTTTTTGCTTTTGGAAGTATTTAGATAATAGCTTACTGGAGAATCTGACATTTTTTCTAGTTATTAGAAAATATAATGAATTAAATCATTATTTTAGAGAGATGTATTTGACCAATCAGAACACATCCGACAAATCCATGCATAAATTTTATAACTGTCAAATACCCACCACTACCTATTAAAAAAAAAGACATCATCACCTCATAATTCTCTTATTATTGATTCAAGAATTATCACGCGCGTCTTCAAATTTCCACGGTAGTGAATTTTAATTGTTATTTAGAACATCATATTTTCATTTGTACCAATATTCTTATCTCTAATGATACTGAGTCGTAACACATCGTTAATGGTTTATTGGTAGCAAAATTACTAGGCGTGTCAGCATTATCAACATATTTATACATATATGACAAATCAAAGTATTATATATCAGATAATTTGGGAATAAGACATGACAAGATGATTAGTGGATACCAATGGACAAATTCAAGATTCAATAAATAGTAACAATTACATTATCAATGATAAAAAGAATAGTTTTTTTCATGTTATTATGTTTGGTTTATATAATAATAATATATCTTACAATTTATGAGAAACTTGAATAAATTAATTTTTTCTAAACAACAACAAGAATAATATTAGCAGTGATAATAATAATATTAATAGTAATATGCTGTTTATTCAAGTATATAGCAGGATAAATATCAAATATTTTAGTGTGGTCAAAACAAGATGGCAAACCGCATTTTCTAATCAACAATCAACCCAAATCACACACATGGGCTGATTGCATTTACTAAAGGTTCAAATGGACGGTTGATACCAAATAGTTCTATTAACATGACAATATTTGAAATATCGAAACATAACAATAAAGACAATAATAAAGACAATGGAATTTAATTAGAATTGGATTTCATTAGAATTGGATTTAATTTAATTTAATTTAATTAAAACGTAGTTTTTCGAAACTTCATTGTTAACACAATATATTTATTTATAACATCATGTAAAAAATAGATAATAGATAATAATTACATTGTTGCCTACTTTCAAAAATAATATTGATTATATCACACAATTATTTTTGTGTAGAATTTGTGGCTTTTTTAGAAAGAAAAAGAAATTTTCAACAATAGCATTTAGACTGAATATAAAGTAAATATAATAGGATAGAAATTTAGGGTTAAAAAAAAGCTTAAAATAGAAATTAGTTGAACATTATAAAAAAAAAAAAGTTTATTAAAAGAAAGATCAACAAATTGATCAACAAGTTGATTTAAAAAAGTTTAAAAAGAGAAGAAAAGAAATAGAAGATGATTACTATTTTATTTCTATTTTGTTACTATTTTGTAATTAATTAAATGTTTGCATCTAACCAAATATTAATAATATAAATAATTATAAAAATAATAATTTTAAAAATTTCAATCGTCAATACGCTTGCTCCTTCGTTGGGACCGTTTGATGGGATTTATTTGACGGCTATCGTCATCAATTGTTTTTCTTCGTTTTCGTTACTTCTTTCTCCTTCTCACGTACGAAAAATTTTTTAAAAATTGAAATTAATTTATTTATAAATATTTTCTTTGTTTGCTCCACAAAAATATTCATTCATTCATTCATCATCATCACCATCAATCTAATCATCTTAATCAATCAATTCTTTCCATCATTTCATCCAATAAAAATTAATATCATTATTATCAATAAACTTACTAGTAATTTCTATTATACGCACTAATTAAAAATAAACTATATCATCAATCACCTATAATACCAGTAATAATATTGTTGTCATTCATTATCACCTAATACCTAAACTTATAAAAAAATAGAAATCCCCTCAATCAATTCCCCTTTTTTAAAGTTTGGCACAATAATACATAATTATTTATATTTATATTTATTTATATAATAAATTGGGTCAAATAACCTGACCGAGTTTGTAATAAAATAAGCCTCTATTTGCTACAAAACTCTTTTTTTTTTTTTCCTTACTCTTCGTTTTCCTGACATTACTGTTGTTAGCTCATTCCAACAACAACAAATTAATACTGGTAATCTTCAACATTTGATTCTCTAAAATTGTCTTGAAAGTAACTAAAAGGTACTGTTAATATTATTATTATATTTGTTATATTACTATAATATTATTGTAATGTTGTTACTATGTAACAAACTTTAAAAGTTTTTGTGATCTATTTCATGCTTTAAACTTACAGTTCTTGTTTAACCATTTCCATTTTTCCATTTCCATTTTCCATTATTATTATTTGGGTCATTTTATTATTGTATTTTTTTTTTAACAAATATATTTTTTTTTCTCTGAATATTAAATTCCTAACGAATAAACAACTTTTGTTTATTAATTCTTTAGTGTCAGCGAAGTGTCCTGATCCCTTCGCTACCTTCTCAACTTCTTTCTCTAATTTGGTAGCAACAAAATTTGACAATATCAACAAACATTGCATATATAACACTATTTAATAACATCTAACAACTTTATCACAAAATAAGAAAAAAAAGCCTTTTTTTTTGCATATAAAAAAGGAAATATTATTATATTGTATATAAGAATATTTATTTCTTTTCTCTTTTCAAAAACTACAACTCGCACTAGACCAAAAAAAAAGGAGATATAACCGTATATTTCTCATCAACTCATAATCCATTTCAAACATCAAATCATCTATTAACTCATACTCTCAACTCACTCAACTCAATCAACAAATCAATCAATTAATCACTCACTCAATCACTCAATCAATCACTCAATCATTTAATCATTCATTCAACCACTTCAATCATTCATTCAACCACTTCAATTAAATAAACAAATAAATCAACTCACTCAATCAATTCATCTACAATTTTCATTAAAAAAAACAATCATTCAATTAAATATCATATCATATCAATTCAATTTAAAAGGGTCCTTTTCTTTTTCGAGAAAAAAATCCATCATATAATATTCAATCATGATCAATGAAGAGATTTCGACAATATTTGTCGTTGGTTTTCCTGATGATATGCAAGAACGTGAATTTCAAAACATGTTCATCTTTTCTCCTGGTTTTGAGGCTGCCACTTTGAAAATTCCACAAAAAGATTCTTCTGATGACGATGCTTCTACAAATGGTAGTACCGGAAATGGTAGTTCAACGAATGCAAGAAAACAAATTGTATGCATACAATCAGTAAAACAACAATGATTTATTATTATTATTAAATACAATTATGATCATTTAAATATTAATTAATTAATATTAATTAAAAAATTTTTTCTTTCTCAATAAAAATAATCACGTGTAGATTGGCTTTGCTAAATTTCGTACAAGGCTTGAAGCTCTTGATGCCAGGGACAGACTAAGCGGTAGAAAAGTTGATGCAGAAAAAGGATCTGTCCTTAAAGCAGAAATGGCAAAAAAGAATTTGCATACTAAACGTGGCCTCTCAAACGAACAAAATAACAGTTCTGTTAATTCTGTTGCTTCTACTGTTTCTGCTGTTGGTCTACCTCTTCTACCTCCTTCAACAAAAAGATTTCCTACTCCTGGTAGTATAAACACAAATCCTTACGAAGCATTCAATGGCGTGCCTCCTTTTGCTCCTCCACCTCTTCCAAGTGATCTTTTATCTCCTCAAGATTATGGCTATGATTTCTATTCTGATGTCAGTGTATACACTCCTACTACTCCAACCACCCCTGTGTTTCCGGACCAAACACCCTTTTCATCTGCACGTGGATCTTTCGACGCTACAAATGGTGCCATCAACGGTCTTGTTCCTCCATCTCGTCCTCTTAGCAATGGCATCAGATACGGTACAACTAAAGGTTTCTTTGACAATGTCGATGATCTAAACTACCTTTCAAAATCAAATCCTGTAGAAATTATTTCTAAAACTGCAAAAAGTTCAACAAACGGTTTCAATTCTGCTTTACTTGTTAATGAAGATTTGGCTCAATCCATCTCTCATCTATCACTCAATCCATCTACATCCCAATCAATCATGTCTTCTTCACCTTCTCTTAGCTCATCAGGATTTAGACCACCCAATTCTGCTGATCAAAATCCACCTTGTAACACCCTTTACGTTGGAAATTTACCCATGAACACTTCTGAGGAGGAACTGAAACAAATGTTTTCACGTTGTCCAGGCTACAAACGTATGTGTTTCCGTACAAAACAAAATGGGCCAATGTGTTTTGTTGAATTTGAAGATGTTAGTTTTGCAACCCAAGTCATGAAAGAACTTAATGGAAATCATCTCAGTAATTCAGTTAAAGGTGGAATCCGTTTGAGTTTTTCAAAAAATCCTCTAGGTGTTAGAAGCAACGCTAATGGCAGTTGTCACGGTGCCTTTAACGGTCTCAGTAGTTTCAATCCTGAAAGACGTGGTTCATTTCATAGTTTAACTGATCATCGAAGAGACTCCACCTTCAACTTGGAAAGAAGAGATAGCACTTACAGCTTAACTGATCATCGTAGAGATTCTACTTTCAGTTTAGACAGAAGGGATTCTACTTTTAGTTTGACTGGTTGTGGTATTGGTACTAATAATTCAGCAATTGGTTTGGTATCTGGTATAGCTCCAACAATAGGCAGCAGTAGCAGTAGCAGCACTGGTGGTAGCAGTAGAGATTCTATTCAACCACAATCTTATATTGAAAGATTTAATTTCGAACGTAGAGATTCATCATCATCATTTTTCACATCACCTGAACGTAGAGATTCATTAAGAGAAGCATTATTTGCACCTGAGCGCAAAAATTCGTTCTCTTTTGATCCGCAACTTGCATAATTTGCATTAAAGGAAAAATATATATTATTGCATTCATATCACAGTACTTTTCACTTTTATATACATATAATTAAAAAAAAATTTACATCTTTACATATTATACATACATTTATCATCAATTATCAAATTATCAAATTTGTTAGTTTTTAAGAGAAAAGTTTTTTCTTTTAAATAATAAAAAAAGTCAAACAATACCAATTTCAATATAGGATAGGATCTCTAGGATCATATATATTACATACATTTTATAACAAGAAAAAAAACTTCTTTTTTTCATGAAGGACATTGGAATAAATTTTAATTCGGATTTTTTATCAAAAAGAAAAACCTAATTAATTAGTTAATCAAAAAAAAAATATATACTGCATTTAATTTTTATAAATATTATAAATACTTGTTTTTTCTCATTTTTTACTCATTTTTTTTTTCCTTTTTTAATAATTCGCCTTTTCTTATATATTTTTTTTTTTTTAGAGTCATTAATTTTTTCCTCTTTTTTTACAATAAAAAATTTGGGGCTCATATATATATATATATATATTTAAAATATTGTGCTTTTTTAAGAATTATTATTTTTATAATATATATATATATTGTTTTTTTTTGCAATTTGATAATAATAAACAGTTTTCCAAAAAAATTTTTAATATTTATAAACAATTTTATAATTCTTTTTTATAATTTTTTTAATAATGTAATTATCAGTTTTTTTTTCTTTTCCCTATTTACATATATGAATACATGTATGCAAAGGAAAAAAAATCAACTTTACAACAATTATTATAATAACCATGATCACGAAAATTAAAAAATAAAAAGTAATTTATACACATTTAAAATCATCAAAATATAATGATATCATGCAAAATTCCAAAAAAATCATATTTCATATTTATTGTATTTTAACATTTGAAAAAATCGAATTGCATATTTTATCTATATTTTGAATTTGATCTTGGAAACAAGAAAATTTTCCAACACAACATTATGCAATTATTACGCAAAACTTGCATTATATGGGTGCAAGGACTCTCTCTATACTTGTCAATTTTGAGGTCCAACCAAACAAAACAATTCTGTATAATAATAGATAGTGTCACCGATTAAATTTGGGAGAGCGTGTTTTAATGGTGATAACAATTATTTTTGTATTTGTGTGGATCAGAATGAATAAGTAATCAACGAATTGATTTTGTATTGGCGAATAATTTTGGTTAAGATAATAGTTTAAATAAAATATCTATTTTATTTATTTAGTTTTCTTGGTCGAAACTAATTAACTTATTTGCAAGTTACTTTTACAATAGGTCAAATTCGAGTTCTTTATATACATGTTAATTAATTATAAGCCCATTTGGGTTCTGGAGCCCATATGGGTTCGCGCCCGTTTGGGTTCACGCGCCCAAATGGGCGCATCGTCACTAATTTCTACTAAATATAGTTAAATAAATAAATATTAACGTGTTACGAATTGATTAATATTAATTAATATTAATAAGAATAATAATAATAATAAAATGAACATACGGAACGTAACACGGATATAAACGATAATAATAATAATTTAAATTATACAAGTTAATAATAAATAAATAGAAAAATAAAATAGAAATAAAAATTAAATTATCCGGAATTAAGAAGTTCGGCCGAAATTTCTGCGTCAGTCTAATTCCGGTAACAATAGGCTCTCAAGTTTTTCTGTGAAATCAAAACTTTTCAGAACCTTCCATTTTAGGTAATTATTGTCCAAAATATCAGGTCAAGTGAGATAATAACAGGATCCTTGCCAGTTCTTATCAATATTGATATTTCCTTATTTGTAATTATTACATGGTCTTTTTGTTTGATATTTTTGCTACTAGAGACAGTAGTCATCAAAGTATGTTACCTTTATAATTTCATGAAATGTCAAGAAGTACTTAGACATTGAATTCAATAGATTTAATAATATAACATTCAAATATATGACTTTCAAGTGAATAATTTTCAAATAAGTCACCTTTGACATGTAACTTTGTAATAATTAATTGATTATTAATAATAAAATAAACACATTTAAATTATTATCTCTTTTATTTATGGTGCAAGTCACCTAGTCCCGCAACTTGCTGCGCCTCGTGGCCAATTTTGGGAAAAACCATCAAAACTCAGAAATTGTAAGTTATGCTCAAAATGCAATAAAATTTTTATATCACGTGACATTTAATGGTGATACAAATTAAAAAAAATATTTATATTAATAATATATAAATAATGTTATAACATTGCTAAAAAAAAT